GCTAGAAATGTTCTCCTGTTCATTCTACCTAATCATGTATGTATCGATGGAATTCAAGCAGGGGCCGATTCCATCAAATAATCGCCTCCGTCCTTTTAAAAGACGATCAAACATGAAAATTTTTCTTTTTGATTTTAAAAGGTTTAAAAGCATTCTCTTCTATTATCTAATCAAAACTGAGTCGAGAAAGCTAATTTTGAGAATTTTAGAAGCTAAAATGGACTCAGAATCTGCGAAACACGAGTAGAATGGCAAAGAGGTTACCAGTCAATTTTGCAAAGGGGTTTTTCATGACCGCCTATAGTCACTAGTATAGTAATGATAAGAGCTTATAAAATGATTAATTAATTTAGCAATGATGAAAGGTGTGTTGTTTGGAAACCAACGAAACGCACGAATGAAATACCCACGCGTATTGGCCATGATGTTTTGGCTCGTACTGAGCTGAAACTAAAAACAGTGTTAAGTGAACCGGTACCATCTGGTTGGTTTGCTCACTATTTCGACTCGGATATCAGTACAGAAAAGTATAAAATGGATGAATTTTGTAAAATATTTCAAATCACTCCGGTGCTTGGTCAACGTCTTCTCAAATATCTTTTAAATTTTGATTACGATTCAACAACTCTCATAGATGGTTCTGATGTAATAAAAATTGGTTATGTTCTTTGGGAGAGTACAGCGTGTATCAAAGCTCTCATTTTATTTGAGGTATTTGATGAAGACGGAAATAAATTGATTACCAAAAATGACATGAAAATATTTTATCGGAATTATTTTAAAGATTTTAACTTGCCAGTCGCTGATCATGAGTCGATTATTAACACGATTCTTGATACATGTCAATTCAACGAAGATGATGTAATTACTTTTGAACATTTTCATGAAATCTTGGTCAGAAACAGTGGTCCGTTAAACCAATTATTCAAAATTCCGTTCAATGATAAACGACCAAACGATAAAAAGTCGAAGCGTTTTTTCTCCATTACATACATAATCAATAATCTGAAACGAACTGTCTTTCTCTTATTCTATGTTCTTGTTAATGTGAGTATCATCATTTGGATCGTCATTCGACGTGAAACCGTCATCTATCGTGTTTATTCTAAAATGAATGGATACATCATTGTAGCTAAAATATGCGCAATGTTACTTTGTTTCAATTGTTCATTCATTATTGTGCTAATGTTAAAACAGACAATCACTATAATTCGAAGTTCGTTTCTACGCTATCTATTACCAGTAGATGATCACATTAGTTTTCATCGATATGTTGGAAGATTTATAGCTGTTTTAGCCTTGATACATGCATTTGCTCATATTGCGGATTTTGCTGTTATATCATCACGTACGTAGCAAAACATTTGGTCTAAACGAAATTTATTAGTAGAAAACAAGAAAGAAAAAAAGAATGACCATTTATAATCTTCATTGAGAGGAGCAAAGCTATTACATAAGCGAATATGGTATTTTTACCGATGTAAAATATGTAAAAATGATATATGTAAAGGTGTGAAAAGAAAACCTAGAGAAAAATTTTCCTCGATTATCTTTCACCAGTAATTATGTAAGGATCGAGGTACTTTAACATCACATTTTGTAGAGATCATGTGTTCTACATTTCTAACAGTCCGTAAGTTCTTCATCGACGAATCTTCAGCGATTTGTGACAAAGTTTGAAAAACAGTCGTAGTTGTGCACTGTAATGAATGAGCTAAGGTTATGGGCTAATACTTCGCTACGCGCCCAATATTTCTCGTTTTCTATGATCCAATAACGTATATAAGCTATGTCAAAGATCCTATTTTCTAATAAAAACAAGAAAAATTCGAATTTAAGACATCGAAAAAAAGCTTAAAATCATTAAAACTGAAAATGAAATGATCGTCCTCTTCGGCAAAGACTTGTGCGTAAATGAGAGACGTCTCATTTTTTAGAGGGAGGTAACAAGCTGAAAAAAAGTTTCAGTTGCTTCGTTAAAACACGAAAAAACAAGTTTAAAACGATATCATGTCTTTCTTTCAGCTGAAATACTAAATTCTTAAACTTTTTCCAGTAAGAAGTTATTATAATACGATCTATCTTCCCTTGTGTTTAAACTCGGAAGAAAATTTATACTACATAAAAGAAGATTTGCCTTATTGTTATTTTTTAGCTTACAGCTGGGCTCAATTGATGTTCACTTTTCTTGCTAATCAGGACACTATCGTTCGTGGTTTTGCTCCGTTAAGTGGTATTGTACTGCTATTAATAACGACTGTAATTATAATATGCTCAATGGAATTTGTTCGTCGAAGTGGTCATTTCGAGATATTTTACTGGACTCATCTGTTATATATACCATTGTTCGTCATGTTGATATTGCATGGTAACGATTTTTGGAAATGGATCGTTGTGCCAGGTACGATATTTGTGTGTGAGAAAATTTATTCAATCATTCAACGTTATTGTACACTATATGGTAAAACATATGTGAAAAGTGTGTCGATCATCGAAAGTATGACGAAAACAGGCAAAGTTGAATCGACCGTCATTGCTCTGACGATCAATCGTCCATTGAATTTTGATTTTAAGCCAGGCGATTATATATTCATCGCGATACCAAGTATTGCTACTTACGAATGGCATCCGTATACAATTTCAAGCGCACCAGATACAAAAGGAACATTGACGGTACACGTCCACGCAGTTGGTAACTGGACCAATAAATTATTAGAATATTATAAACGAAAAATGGATAATCGAAATGATTTACACGAAGTTACTGTTCTGCCCGTTTCTCCTAATCAAGAAGAAAATAATAAGAACAAAATGCTTACAACATCAGCACCAACAAAGATCTTGGCAGCGGAGGATTTATTATGGATCGATGGTCCTTATAGTTCGTGTGCTCGATACATATTTGACTGTCAACATGTCATACTCATTGGTGGTGGAATTGGTACGTAAACATATTTTAAAATTCTAGTATTAATAGAGAGTTTAGTTTCGGTAAACAACTGGAGTGAGTCTGATAGAACCTTATGAGGGAACCTGGCCAACTGCCTCCTCATTTTTATAAGAAAATGTAGTAGGTTTTTCGCATAGGCCTTTCCTAGCCGGTTTCTAAAAAGCTGGTTTTCTAGAAGCCTCGAAAAATCCCCAAAACTTTTTCTAAATAAGTCACAAATGTAGCCCACGGAATTCTGATTAAAATGAGACATCTACCAGCTCTACGCGACGTTTCTTTGTAAAGTTGTAGAATTTTATAAAAAAAGCCCTAAATGTTCATTGTCACCTCAGAGCTACAGAAAAAGGAAAAAGGAATTTAGAGCTTTTTTGTAAATTCTATAACTTTGAAGAGAAACGTTGTGTAAAGTTGGCAGATGTCTCGTTTTAATCAGACTTTCACGCGTTATAATTGTAACTGGTTTAGAAACAGCTTTGGGGATTTTTTGAGGGTTCTGAAAAACCAGTTTTTCAGAAACCGGCTAGGGAAAGTCTGTGCGAAAAACGGCTATCATATTCGAAATCAGCATGGTCGATTACCTATAACCTACTACATTTCGTTAAAAAAATGAGGAGGCAGCTGGCGAGGTTCCTTCGTTAGATTTACACTGTAAAAAAAAATGCGACTTCTAGGAAGACACGGAAGTCGGTTCCCATTTAGTCGCACAATTGCGCCTATTTTGAAGACACATCATGCGACTACCTGTAGTAGTCACATCCATCCGTCTACTTCTAAGTCGCATGGAAGACACTGAAGTCGGTTCCCATTTAGCCATATTTTAGCGACTCTTTTGAAGTCGCTTTGATGTGTCTTCTGTAAAAGACACATTAAAAAAAATTTTCGTTCCTGTCAAGAATTGAACTCGGTCTATTCGCTTACTAGACGAATGTGATGTTCACCACTGAACCATACAGGCACATTAATTATTAGGCTTATTGGCCTCTTACGTTGACGTTTCATGTGAGACATTAAAAACCTAGCAGAGTCACATAGAAGGCGGGAAGATGTGACTACTAAGCGTCTTTCTGGTTCACATGTCTTTCATGCCACTTCTATATGTCTACCAGTAGACACATTGAAGACATATAGAATTTTGAAGACGCAATGTAGTCATACAAAAGACACTTTTTCTCGGTAGACACATCGCTGAAGTCGCATTTTTTTTTAGAGTGTAGTTTCTAAATTTATCGGGAAAAAGCGTCACTCTAGACCATAGCTCTAAGCCAAAACGTTTTTTACTTTAAGGTATTACTCCATATGCCAGTATTCTCTCATCATTGATGGCTCAATTTCGTTATCAGCGCGTTGTGTGCAAAAACTGTAATCATGTGAATTATACTCATGATTTTGTTGATGACCGTACATTGAGAAAAGTGGATTTCATTTGGGTTAATCGTGACATACAATCATTCGAATGGTTTCTTGAATTGTTAGATAGTTTCGAACAAGAACAAGAGTCCTATTTAAAAAATTGCAATGATAGTAAACGATTCTTAGACATCCACTTGTATTTTACCGGTAATAACGAGAGCAAATCAGGTAACGTCCCATTGGCGTTGGCATCATCTCTCTATCATAAAGGAAGTGGTGAAGACATATTTACTCATCTAAAGTCAAAAACGAATCCTGGACGACCAAAATGGAATGAATTATTCAAACAGATCAATGAAAGTAATGAAAATTTAGCACAAGAAAACGAAAACAATCCAAAACGTGATATCAATGTCTTTTTCTGCGGTAGTCCTGTAATGGCTAAAACGGTGAAATTATACTGTAAAAAGTACACTTTCAAATTTCATAAAGAACTATTTTAGATCGTCGATAACATCGATAAATCAAACTGCTGAGCTGTTATGCGGTTTGTTTTATATCTCTCATTTGTTTGTTTTACACCATGTATGTTCTTTCTTTATAACACATTCTTTCTGTGCCAATAAAAGGGTTTACGATAAAATCGATAAAGATAATATAATCGATAATTCTCAGTTTTTTGCCTGTCTACAAGCTGGATATGCTTATAGACAATTAAGACTACGAACAAGTGGACATATCTCGATTTTTGACAATTTGCTCATACTCTTTTTCAACACACGTGACAAATCATAAGTTTCAAAAACCGATTTTGAGCTTTCAAAAATCGTACAGTGACGTGTCGCTCGTCGTCCCAGTTTTATTGAACAGATATTTTCCACACATGTTTAGAAAATGTCAAGGGGAAAATAGCACTTCCGAGAACCTAAAGGAACTTTGGAGATCCCTGTGAAGCTCATTGAAACTCTCAGGAGCGTAGAGACCTTTCCATAGCCACCTGGAACTATCCAGAACAATTTAAACTTTAGAAATTCAAATCAAATGCGTGTATTTATCAGCTTCTTTTTAACAAATCTTGGCAGATATCACTCTTCTCGATGAAAATAGATTTTTTTTATGTTCATTTAGTAAGTATAAAAAAGATCATTCTCACAGTATACAGTAAAAAATGCCTTCTGCTAATCTGATGTTTTTTCTTATACTGATGACAAGTGTTATAATTACGTTAAGACATTCTTAGACGATATTATTGTTGAAATTTTTAAAATACAAAAAATATTCTCTGTGTGTGGTTGATTATGAACAAATGATGTACCGGAAATATTACGCCTTAATTGTGCTGATTATGTTGATATCAAATAGCGTGCTTGTTGCAAATTAATCTAATAATAATTTTTTTGTGAGAATAACTTCAGATATTAGAGACTTAATTTAAACGTTGAAGACAATAGAACAAAAAAAACCATTCGAAAATGATTTTGGAACAAAAACTGGAACGCTTTCTCTCACTCTATCTGCTGGCTAGAATGTTTCAATTGATAATACACATACAAGAACCAGTTGTATTCTGTTAGCTTTTGACAGGTGGAGCAGAAATAATGATATCTTCAGTATTTTCTATTATTCTTGCATTTCTTAGATCCTCTGGATCCTATTCTTTTCTCAAAAGGTTCGTTCGCTATTCCATTCTCTACAAAAATCTGTGAAGAGTTTGATAAAAATGTTTAATAGTAAAAAATTACAAAAAAAGTCCAGCAGTAGCAGATTTCCTACAATTCAGATAGTCTATAGAATTCTCCGAAAATGTATTCATAGTTATTTGATCAAAGGTCTGAGCTGTTACGAAAATCTAGGAAGTCCATAGAATTCTATGTTATTGCAGATATATAATCTGTATTGACGAAGTTAGTACAAGTGGAAATGTATAAAATTATTACTCTATTTGTTTGGTTTACTCTTGATTCGTCTCTAATTGCTCTCAATTCGTCCGACAAATTCTTTTCTCAGTTCGTCGCTAATAATTCGTCCCGCTTTTTTTAGTCTCAATTCGTCCCATTTGTTAAATACTTATTCTGTATAAGTTCTCTTATATTTAACTTAACTTAAAAAAATATTATTAATACATTGTCTTTATTCCACATGAATTTTTACGATCCTTCTACATTTTATGGCTAATCGTAGATTTGTTACCCCTCACTTTTCATGAGCGTGAAGGAAACTTTTTAACTTTCAGCTTTTCAACTGTTCACCAATTTCATTGTAATTTTTTTTCCGTTTACGAGTTTGGACTTCAGATTCTTCTGCGTGATGGTGCTGAAAGGCATGTTCTTAGCGTAATACTACATCAATAAATCCATAAAAATATGAATGAACAGGAATACACTTTCTAAACGTTTATTATACCCTCTACGCGGTTTACTTTTTTCAGTTTCTGTGAAACTTAAGGGTGCTCCCCCCCTTTTTTTACCCTCTTGGAAATCGGGGAAGCCGATGTCCGATCGGGTTCTAATTTATATCAGAGATAGAACATCGAAAAAGAAAATCGAACTATTTTTGTCCAGACTTTTCTGACGTGTTCTTCTATGGATTTGATGAAAAAGTCTAGTTTTCTTTCATCCAGTCACATTACGATCCCTCAAAAAAATGGTCCGATCGAGGTCAAAATGTTACCATAGATACTTCAGACCCTATCTCAGGTTCATTTTTTATCTTTTCGAAAAATATCCTTTCCTTCTCGAGATATTCGAAAAATACTGAAAGTGCTATATAAAAAATCGATTTTTCATTTTGAAAACCTTCCCACACCGAAAGCTGAAATCGAAAACATAAATGATAAAAACATAAATTGTACACATGGCTCTGTTTTTCAGGGATTTGTGGTTATGCTTATATCTTCAAGAAAACTCATCAGAAAATTCTGAAAAACATCTCATTTTGAGAAGCACACTTTTTTCTGTTATGCGATATATAAGAAATAATTTTGAATATATGAGAAAGGAAAGAAAGATTTACGAACCTAAAACATTGAGATTTTCTAGACTTTGAAGGAAAAAAACCTAAGAACTTCATAATTTTTTTAAGGAAGGTCATGGAGAGCTGAGAGTGGTCGCATTTTATAGCTCAGACTTTCCTCTACACTAGACTATGTTCAGCTGAAAATGAAAACTTTACTGCCTGCTTTGGACACGCTTTCGTACATATTATTATTTATTGTATTCTAACTAGCATGGACGAAACCCTTGTTATTTTGAAGAACACAAAGAGAACTTATGCAGCATAAGTACTTAACAAATGGGACGAATTGAGACTGGAAAAAGTAGAACGAATTATTTGGGACGAACTGAGAAACAAATTTGTGGGATGAATTGAGAGGACACGATTTATTTGATAATTCCCTTTCCGACAGATTGATAAAACGAGATGGGAATCAGACAGTGAGTGCTACAATAAGATTATTTTGTTCAGCACTTGGTCTAGGAAGCGAAATAATCATTTCAGTATTGAATTATAAATTATAACTTGAATAAAATGATGAAAAGTACATTCGTTCTTATATTCCTTTGATATTTTAAGGATTAAAACAGCAAGCAGAATAGAAACATTAAAACAAAACAAAAAGTTGCTGATTACTATGGCTTCTATTTTGAAACTTGTTTGTTCTGTCCTCTACACATGTACGTAATTTCTTTTCTATTTTACGTTGGAATAACTTTTGT